TTGAATGGGCTTGTTTGTTTTTTTTTTCCTGTAAATCTGTTTGAGTACTTTGTAGATTCTGGATATCAGCCCTTTGTCAGATGGATAAACTGCAAAAATTTTTTCCCATTCTGTTGGTTGCCGATTCACTCTAGTGACTGTTTCTTTTGCCATGCAGAAGCTGTGGAGTTTGATTAGGTCCCATTCATCTATTTTGGCTTTTGTTGCCAATGCTTTTGGTGTTTTGTTCATGAAGTCCTTGCCTAGTCCTATGTCCTGAATGGTTTTGCCTAGATTTTCTTCTAAGGTTTTTATGGTGCCAGGTCTTATGTTTAAGTCTTTAATCCATCTGAAGTTAATTTTAGTGTAAGGTGTCAGGAAGGGGTTCAGTTTCTGCTTTCTGCACATGGCTAGCCAATTTTCCCAACACCATTTATTAAACAGAGAATCATTCCCCGTTGCTTGTTTTTGTCAGTTTTATCAAAGATTGTATGGTTGTAGATATGTTGTGTTGCCTCCGATGCCTCTGTTCTGTTCCATTGGTCTATATCTCTGTTTTGGTGCCAGTACCATGCTGTTTTGATTACTCTAGCCTTGTAGTATAGTTTGAAGTCCGGTAGTGTGATGCCTCCCATTGTGTTCTTTTTCCTTAGAATTGACTTGGCTATGCGGGCTCTCTTTGGGTTCCACATGAAGTTCATGGTGGTTTTTTCAAGTTCTGTGAAGAAAGTCAATGGTAGCTTGATGGGTATAGCATTGATTCTGTAAATTACTTTGGGCAGTATAGCCATTTTCACGATATGGATTCTTCTCAACCATGAACGTGGAATGTTTCTCCATCTGTTTGTGTCCTCTCTGATTTCGTTGAGCAGTGGTTTGTAGTTCTCCTTGAAGAGGTCCCTTACGTTCCTTGTAAGTTGTATTCCTAGGTATTTTATTCTTTTTGCCGCAATTGTGAATGGCAGTTCGTTCTTGATTTGGCTCTCTTTAAGTCTATTATTGGTGTATAGGAATGCTTGTGATTTTTGCACATTGATTTTATATCCTGAGACTTTGCTGAAGTTGCTTATCAGTTTCAGGAGTTTTTGGGTTGAGGCAAGGGGGTCTTCTAGGTATACTATCATGTCGTCTGCAAATAGAGACAATTTGGCTTCCTCCTTTTCTATTTGAATACCCTTTATTTCTTTTTCTTGCCTGATTGCCCTGGCTAGAACTTCCCGTACTATATTGAATAGGAGTGGCGAGAGAGGGCATCCTTGTCTAGTGCCAGATTTCAAAGGGAATGCTTCCAGTATGATATTGGCTGTTGGTTTGTCGTAAATAGCTTTTATTACTTTGAGATACGTTCTATCAATACCAAGTTTATTGAGGGTTTTTAGCATAAAGGTCTGTTGAATTGACAAATTACATTCTATCAGGATCAGAATGGCAGAACTAGAAAAGACATTAGAAATAGTTTCTCTGCTTTAAAAATCATAAACTGCATGGTGGCTCATGCCTGTAATCTCAGCACTTTGGGAGGCCAAGGTGGGTGGATCACCAGAGATCAGGAGTTCAAGACCAGCCTGGCCAACATGGTGATACCGCATCTCTAATAAAAGTACAAAAACTATCCAGCCATGGTGGCAGGCGCTTATAATCCCAGCTACTTGGGTGGCTGAGGCAGGAGAATCGCTTGAACCTGGGAATTGGAGGTTGCAGTGAGCTAAGATCATACCATGGCACTCCAGCCTGGGCAACAAGAGCAAGAGTCCATCTCAAAAAAATAATCATAAACTGTCAACCTATAGATTAAATGTAGTCACTTGATGCTTTAAAAACTAAGTTGTAAATTCCCGTTGGTTGTTCATAAATATATACAAAATATTACATTTCCCTTGTGGATTGACAAACCACACTAGACTTGAATTATTCTATGGTGGTTACATACTGTCTCATTCCTAACTTCCATTCCTCTCCCTATTAATTTATATTCAGCCCATTTTATTCAATTTGGTTTTGTCCCTGCCTTCTTTGTTCGTCTGACTTAATGAATTCTGATTTACACCAACTCTTTCATTTTGCATTCAAGACATATATGTGACTCCAAAGAGAGTATACAGTTTGCCCCCATCATGTAACTGGTGCTTTCCACAGCCTAAACAATAACAAAATAATATTATTTTTTATTAATATTGTAAATTGCAGTGTGGCCAATAAATAGAAAATAATTGAGGTGTTGGAATCTAATGCCCATTGTCATAGAGGTTCATTTAATTCTTTTCAGGAGAAGATTGCATTTTTATAGTATGTTTTAATTCTGATAGAAACAAGTGTACCTGAACAGTTAAGACAAAGTTTAATGAGGAGAAATTTTGTCTAGAAGTAAATCCATCCTAAACATTTACTAACACATAGAATTGTAAATGCTTTTAGTGGTATGCATAGGATTTAAAGGTCTTCTTAAATTATGCCAGTCATTTTTTAGCGTTATTGCTATCCTAAATGCACAGTTAAGGTTAGCAAAAATGCATGCAGCATGCATTTTTAATATTTGAAAGCAGACAGCATCATATATCTTTTTTTCTTTTTTTTTATTTTTTGAGATGTAGTCTTGCTCTGTCACCCAGGCTGTAGTACACTGGTGCAGTATCGGCTCATTGAAACCTCCACCTCCTAAGTTCAAGGATTTCTCATGTCTCAGCCTCCCAAGTAGCTGGGACTAGAGGAGCACACCACCATGCCTGGCTAATAGTAGAGATTGGGTTTTACCATATTGGTCAGGTTGTTCTCCAACTCCTGACCTCAGGTGATCCACCCACTTCAGCCTCACAAAGTGCTTGAATTACAGATGTGAGCCACCGTGCCCAGCCGGACATAGCATTTTTTCTCATGTTAAAGCTAAAGGTGCAGATGTTTAGTATGTATGCATATTTCCATACTATGTAAGGATTAGTAAACAGATGAATTATGGAAAGTATAAAATTTTGCTTCCGTCTTGTATAGTAACAAGATAGACAATTTAATTAATGTCTACTTCCACAAATAGGAATTCAGTTTTTGAAAGTTATCCCCAAATATGACTTGCATGCTTTCTTGTATAAAACTTTTGATAAGTAGTATGTATCTTAATCTGTCATAAATTAATAATCCATTGTTCACATATTCAAGCCGTCTATATTAGTTTTGTATTGCAGCATAATAATACCACAAAAGTAATGGGTTAAAACAACACATATATCATTTTGAATTTCCTGTAAGTCAGGAATCTAGGCATGGGTTAGCTTTTCCTGTTTTTTGGTCTTCCATAAGCTTTTAATCAAGGTATCAACCTGGGCTAGAGTCTCACCTGAGGCTCAAATACAGAAAGATCCACTTCCAAGTTCATGTGGTTGTTGGCAGAATTCATTGCCTTTGGGATGTTGAACTAAGGGTTTCAGTTCCTTGTTGGGTGTTAGCCATCACCTTGAATTTCTTGCCATGAGGACTGCTGCACATGATAGCTTACTTCATCAAATCCAGCGAGGGATATAGCCAATAGAGTTGGCTAGCAAGAATCTAGTCAAGTCATAATCTTATACAGTCTATTCATTGAATTTACATGAGACATATACATCACATGAACACTAAGCAGAGGATAAAATGCCCTCATTGACCAGAGATGGTTAGTGGGTCTATGCAAGTACCATGGGGATTGGCTAAAGCACTTGTGTATGGAAAAGGAAAAAGGCAAAATCATTGAAAACAGTATTTGGATGTTATCAAAGAAGGCAAAAAAAGACATGCAGTACAGTAAAACAAACGTAAATTAAATGCTTTATATATTTCATTTTAAAATGATACAAATTGGTTCTTACTCTTCAGCAAGAAGCAGTTATTGCTCACATAATGAATATATGGACCACCATTAGGTGCTAGGGTATCTGTGAGAAAGATTGCTTTACATTTAGATAACTAGTCAATTAAGTATATGGATGGCAGTAGAAAAAAACTAAGCAATTTGGACAACATGTTTGTTAAGCCTTGTATACAATTTATACTTCAGACTAAATTTATATTTCAGGATTTGTTGTAAAAGGTTTCAATGAAAGCACAATGTAATTGCATAATGTAGCTTAGAAGAACTACTGTGTACATTCTATTATTAACTTTAAAACTCTGTCATAGAAATGGATAATAAAACATAAATAAATGAATACCACCACACACCTATTAGAATAGGATTCTCATTCATTGTCGGTGAGAATATAAAATGGTACAGCCACTTTGGAAGACAGTTTGGCAGTTTCTTAAAAGACTAAACAGCCTTACTACACAATCCAATAACCATACTCTTTAGTATTTACCCAGAAGAGTTGAAAACTTAGGGTCACAAAAACCTACAGAGAGATGTTTATAGCAGCTATAGTGATGATTGCCAAAACTTGGAAGCAACCAAGATGCTTTTTATTTATGGAAATAAACTGTGGATACATTCAGACTCTGAAATATTATGTAATGCTAAAAACGAAAGAAGCTATCAAGCCATAGGAAGACGTTGAGGAACATTAAATATATGTTGCTAAGTGAAAGAAGGCAATGTGAAAAGGATACATACTGTATGAGTCCAGCTTTACAACATTCTGGAAAAGATAAAACCATGGAGACACTACAAAGATCAGTGGTTGCTAGAGGTTGAGTTGAGGGGAGGGATGAATATACAGGGCAGAGAGGATTTTTCATGACAGTGACAATATCCTGTGTGATACTATATGAATGTGGCTACATGTCATTGTACATTAGTCCAAACTCATAAAATGTACAACAACAACATGCACCCTCATGTAAACCATGAACTTTCAGTGATAATGCATCTGTATAGATTCATCAGTGATCACAAATGTAGCACTCCGGTGAGGGATTTGACATGGAGGAGGTCATGCATGTGTGGGAGCAAAGGGTATATCGAAATCTCTTATCATTCTCTCAGTTTTTCTTTGAACCTAAAGTTACATCCAAAATTTTACTTAAAAACAAATACATCGTCTTCTCTAAACCTGCAGACCTCCACCCGTAAGTGAACTTGCCTCCAAAGGGACTGTGGTTGGTGTTATTTCTGCTGCTGCCGTTAATCAAAGTATTGTATACTCCATTGTTTCAGGAAATGAAGAAGGTGAGTAGACTTTTAGTTTGCGTTCTCACCATCAACCAATAACTGGACTAATTTCAGATCAAATTTAAATTGTCTATTGTTTTCTAATAAAATTGTGCTCATCTTAAATGTAATTGATAACCATGTATGCTGAACTTGATTAAAAATCCAGTTATGTTAGTTCAAGTGATTTATTTTGCCCTTAAGAAATATTAAGTATCTAATTAATGAAGGCTTGCCCTTCCCCTCATTTGATGATATTTTAATGACATTTCCTCAAAAGTAATGCATCATGAAATTTTCAGCTTTTGGTTGTGATTATTGCCTACAGTAGCTTCCTCCTCCTCCTCACTGCCTGTACCAACCATGACGTTTACCACGTTGGTCATACCTTAACTAATCCTGAAGAAATTTCAAGATTTTAAATAAGTATGAATTTTTAAAAATGTTGCATCAATGTTAAAAGCCATGTATGCCATATGATTCCCCAAATAGTCAAATTAGACATACAATTAATGATTATAAGTAACAATTATAAGTAGAAATATTTTTGTCTCCTAATCACTTTAAGAATCATAGGAATTTGCTGGCCTCTGGGAATAAGGTTATAGCTCAGTGTTTTGCATTAATCTTTGTTTTAGCTATCATCCACAGCTTCTCCTCTGTTTTTTATTTTAGTTTGTTAGATAGCCTAGCACATTGTAGGTAGTCAAGAAATAGTTAATATACTTGTAATAAGTTAATAGTAAATATTTTAAGAATGAGTGAATGTAAAAGCTTCAAGGCAGTTTGCAAGAAAATTATAAAGTCCTTTTTAAGCTTTTTAATGACAAACTATTACTAGAACTTACTGCTCGTGCAGTGTAGCAAGTAGTCAACATCTTACTTTTATTGCCTTTTTTTATTTGTTACTACTGTGCTATTGTGGGTCCTCCCTAAAAATAACTAAACTTTCTTTTTCCCTTTAGTGTGGTAGAAAACCATCTGAATCTAAGGTGAAGAATCTATTATTTTGTGTTTCCCAAATGTAATTGACCACAGAACACTGATTTCCAGTATTATATCAAAACAACAGCAGCAACAACAAAAACCCTACAATTTCAAGGCAGACTTTAGTGAAATATTGATGTTGATCATTAAAAGAATTGGAACAGTTTCCAGAAGCCAGCATTTTGTCACTTTCATATGTCATTCTAGTTATAAAAAAGCATTTTTAGTGTTTTTGAAATCACATTGCCTTTTAAAGAGAATTTCTTTCCTTATAGTGTAAAGACAATGACCAGGTAATTGTATTTTAATTTCTAGATAAATTTGGAATTAATAACATCACAGGTGTTATCTATGTGAATGGACCTCTGGATTATGAGACTAGGACAAGCTATGTACTTCGAGTCCAAGCTGATTCCCTGGAAGTGGTCCTTGCCAATCTCCGAGTTCCTTCAAAAAGTAAGTTATGCTACTTAAACCTTTTACATAATTGTATGGTGTCTCTGCTAATGTTTTAGTGAAATACAAATGTCTAAAATATAGTTCTCAGTGGACAACATAGAAAGATCATTAATGCTCTGAGACGACTGCTTATTCATTTTAACCGCTGGTGTATGACAATGCAGGGAGTCATTTCATACTCCTGAAATGCTAAGGAAATAAAACACTGTTTTCAAATTGTGTATACAATATTGTTAAAATACCACCACTGTCTGTTTATGTTAAATAATGAACCTTATTCTTAATTCTGTGAAGCTCTGGATAAACATTGGGAAAGACATATTTTTAATGAATGACTACTAGAAATTGCCTGAATTGTGTGGCTTCTTGTAGTTACCTATTTTCTTGGATAAATTAGTGACTAACATTTATTGTAATTTATATGTAGCATCTTTGTTCATTTTTAATCCACACATATTTCTATGACATGAGAACTACCCCATTTTACAAAGGGAAGATTTTATTAATAATTTAAAAGGTCAATGTTTTAAATGACAGTGAAGGAAGAGTCACAGAGATTTAAACCCATGTTCTGTGACTCCAAACTTCAACATTTCTGTGACACATAGTTTACCCACACAGAAGCATGTAAAAGCCAGTTTGTGAAGGGAACTGACAGAGATTCAGAGATGTTACCAATATTGGGATAATGCTATTCTTTTCCCATCTATTGAGGTAATACTCTTTTGCATTTCAGCAATTATCCTTTTGTAGTCAAAGACACCCTTTTAAAATCTAGAAGACTCAAGAAAACCAGGTTTAATTTAACTATTAATAGAATAGAGGCCCAGATAGAGTGTGAAGTGAGAAGCATGATCTGAAACACTCACCCAGGGACTAACCCTGAATATCATTTCAAGGCACTTCATCAAGCAAGTGTTCTTAGAAGGGGGAAGAGGAAAAAAAAGAAGAGGGAGGAGCCATAAAGTAAGAGCACAGGCAGAGTGAGAGAAAGGAAAGCGAGGCAGGGAAGGTTGGCCGTTGAGGCTCATGCCTGTAAGTAATCCCAGCACTTTGGGAGGCTGAGGCGGGCAGATCACAAGGTCAGGAGATTGAGACAATCCTGGAGCAATATAGTGAAACCGTGTCTCTACTAAAATACAAAAAATTAGCTGCATGTGGTGGTGCATGCCTGTAGTCCCAGCTACTCGGGAGGCTGAGGCAGGAGAAACGCTTGAATCCGGAAGGCAGAGGTTGCAGTGAGCCGAGATCATGCCCCTGAACTCCACCCTGGTGACAGGAGCAACAGGCAGAAGATGGAGGATAGAATTGTCTGTATCAGTTTGGCAATTGATCATAAAAAGAAATCACTCCTTTTAATTTATCGCAAACCTCATTTACTGATTTAGTGTAGAGAACTGCACAGTTGCTTGTAGAGGTACAACCAAAGCATTTGAAAAATCAGATTATGCAGGTATCTTTGAAATTAAAAGAATTAAATTTTCCTCGATAATTATACAACACTCACATAATTAAATTGTTTAAAAATAGCAGATGACTTCTTTGAGTTTCTAAAATCTTTGAACTATAGGCAATTACGTTTTTAAAAATATAAAGGATGCTTCAAATTATAAACGGAATTGGATAAATGAGGATTCAAAATGTTAAAGAAGCTCTAAATTATATGATGTAACCTATGTTATTGCAAATACAAATAAATGGGAAAGATTCCTTTAAAAGTATACCTGCAATCTTTCTTCAGAACAAATGAACAGTTACTTGTGAAATGTAACTCAAATGTAAGTTACTTAAGAAAATAATACCTGTGATTTCTCAAGTAATACCTGTGATTTTTATGAATAGAGGTACATTAAGTTTTTATATGTGAATATGATACAATGAGCTTCCATTACCTGAGTTTAAATGTAAATCTGAGGCTAATAAGTTTGTCTCATGCACATGTGTATACTTGCATGTGCCCCAGTATGCATGTAAAGGTGAAATCAATTCATGAACTATCCTATCAGAAATGCATGAAGTCTTCAAGCTAAAATGTTTAATGTCTGATTCTTTGAATATTGTTATTAACCTTTTATGAATGACCTTTGCCTCTTAAGTTTGAAATACAAACCCATACATTTCTAATTTGATTTCATTAATTAATAACTGTTAATAGCCTATAGTCAATCCCCAGCCCATTAGCTATGCAAATAAGACCATTATGTAAATTAATGTTAATTAATTAGCTAAATATTCATCTCTGCTTCAGAATTAGTTGCCCTACCACATATTGTTTGAATAAAGATAACAAAAATAAGAAATTTAATTCATTAAAGTATTTTATTGTGACTTCTTTACCAAAAATTTGTTAATAAAATTATTTTCAAAGTGAATAATTTTGCAACCATGAATGATTAGATTTAATATTGAAATGTGAATTAATAATTAAAATGTAAAATTTTAGAGCTCATTTCATAAGTCCAACACTAGGAATATTTAAATATTTTAACCTTTTAGTTGGAACATTTCAAACATACAAAAATTACAGAGACTATTACAGTGAACCTCCATGTATCAACTACCCAGCTCAACATAATCATGCCCTGGGAAATGGTCTTTCATCTGTGTTCTCAACTACCCACTACTGCATTATTCTGAAGCAGGTTGGAATCATAACATGCAACCTGTAAATATTTTGATAAGTATATTTTAAGGACTCTTAAAACTTAATTAAAGTATCATTATTACTCCCGCAAAAAGTAATAAATTTTTGATACCAACATATATCCAGTTGGTATTATACATACTCAGTTCATATTAAGCATATCCAGTTCATATTAGACCTTTATTTATATCAGAATCCAAATAAGGTCTGTACATTGAAGTTGGTTGATTGGTCTGTTAAGTGTTTTTTAATTCACAACTACTACCGTCTTTTATTCACCTTGATATTTATTTGTGCAAGAAATTACATTTCTGAAGCCTAATTGATGGCTGTCTCTCCAAGTGGTCATTTCATATTCTTTCTGCTTCCTTTATTTCCAGTAAATAAGTAGTTCGATCTGGAGGCTTGATCATATCTAGTTTATTTTTGGTTTTGTTTTTAAACAAATAAATCATAAGTGACATTCACTCCTTCCTTAAATATTAAATCTCTTTGATTCTCTTTTTGTTACAGAGATAGTAGCAACCACCAATAGACATTTTCTAAGTCTATTAATTCTTTCTTTTCATTACTTATATATTAATTAGCTAAAATATTTCTATAAAGAAAAAACTTCTCCATAGCAAATATTCAGTTACTCTGAGGTCCAGCACCTATAGGAACAACAAGGAAAAAGTTTGATTCTTGTATTATTTATTTTCAAATAATAAGTTAATTCACTATCATACTCAAAATGGGAATACTGAGATAACAAATATGTTTGGTTTTCAGGGTCTCTGTCGCACCTACTCTACTCTATTGTTGCTTAAAAGTAGAGATGATATGTAAAAAAATAAAAGGGTTTGCCTGTGCTCCCAGAAAACTTGTTTTACTAAAAAAGGCTTCTGTGGGCTAGATTTGGCCAAAAGACTGTAGTTTGTCCACATTTGTTCTAATGCTTACATTTACGTTATGTGATACACTTACCTTTTCTGTTTTTTTGCATTGTTCATCTTTCCTGTTGTGAGCAGTATTTCTGCTTTATTCCTTTTATTTTCCCAAACATCTAATTGAAAGTAATATTGTTTTATCCCTCCTAATATCAATAAGCCATTCAGTCATTTAGTTCTTGGTAGCCCATTCCCAAGTGCAGTCCTCAAAGTAGAATTATAGAGCACTCCTTCCTGTGTTTCTGTGCATTAAGAAAAGTTTATCTGAGGCCTTTAATGTTGAAGATCAATTTGACTGGATAACTCAACTCATTTCCTTTTTTTTTTTTTTTAATTAAAAATGTCCTTCCTTTTCTTATTCTGTGAAGAATTACTATAAATAATGTGTAATGACAAACTGGTCTTATTTCTGAATTTCCAAATAATTGCCTTTACTTTTCCTTAGAGTTCAGTATTTTTGTCAAAATATTTTCACATTTTGGTAATTCTACGTCATTTTCTGTATAAATGTATAACTGGTCAAATCTTATTTAGGGAACAATTTTTTCTTGAATTCTAGCTTTTATTATTTTTTTAATTAATGTAGCATCTATTCTAGTGTTACTGGGCACAGGTTATTATACCTTTATGCAATAGAAACTAACAAGGCTAAGAAACTTTCCTAGACTCCAGGCATTATTGAACCTTTTGCTGGAGCATAAGGAAAGCAGCCCTGAAGAGAAAGAGTCCTCTTGCTGCCTCCCTGGAGATGGCCAAGAGAGTAATTTTAAGGGGCCTAGCCATAAAGGGAGTGACATCAAGGCATGTAGAGATGGGGAATTTCTAGCCCTTGTACAGTTTGTTAACATGCTTCTTCGTATGTCACGTGCCTCATTAACATGTTACATCTCCCCCACTGGGTATGATTTTTAGTATTATAATTAATCTTGGGGTCAGAAGCAGTCATTTCCTTAGCCCTCTGTGGATGTGGGTATTGGGGGCCAACTACTTTGAGTAAGATTTATGGTGGAATGGCCCTCATCTTTGTTTCTCTAGGTAACTTACAGCTTGCAAGCTTCTGTGGTCAGTGGGGATGGCGTGAGTGGGGTGATGTTGCCAGGTGGTGCAAGGTCTTGTGATTAGTGTGACTATGAGAAAGAATGCTCTAGTGGAGGTAATCTGAAGCCAAGCTCCATCCTCCTGTCTCACTAGGAGATTCCTACTACCCTAGTGATGAATCTTCTCTTATCTTTTTATCACTTTCTCACTGATCTCTTTATATTAGAGTATTCTCACATTACTACAAAGAAATATCTGAGACTGGGTAATTTATAAAAAAAGAGGTTTCATTGGCTCATGATTTTGTAAGCTTTACAGGAAGCATGGTGCTGGCATCTGCTCTTGTTCTATGGAGACCTTGGGAAGCTTACAATCATGGCGGAAGT